GTGATTTTCATTCTTTTCCTAAATGGTCTATTTCTTTTGTTCTCAATCATTCCAGTTCATTTTATTCTCCTCAACCAACCAATGTAGCTAGGAAAGTTAGAATCATTATGCGTTCCTATCGCACGAAATTTAACACTCCTTCTCCAATAATTCCCGTGTACCAAACGTCCCCTCACCGGATCAGTATCACGACTCCAACTCTCCAAGTTAGGAAGGCAACTGGCAAAGTATATATTCCATCCCAAAATCAATTCAAGTGTGTTGTTCCAACAATCATAAATAGAGAGTATTGTATTCCTTATTTTAAGCTTAATAAGTGTCAGCAATTGTAGGCTTCGGCATGTAATATTGGCACAATCATTAAGCACGTACTCATGGATCCGGTAACAACCATCTCATTCGAAATGACTATACTACTATAGTTGGAGTCTCTTTGGTGACTCTGTTTTCGGCTTATTAGACTTATTGGGCAACTATTAATCCAAACACGTAACTTTTGATTTCGCGCACTGAATTGTGTAATGATAAGAAAAAGTAAGGTTGTAGTTACTTTTCTGGCTGCATTGGTTGAAGTTACCGTAGATAACCATTTTAGCTATTTTTCATATAATTTTTTCTTTATTTTATTAATAAAATATATTTTGAATATAATTTTTTCATAAATTGGCATAATCAGGTCAGCCAACACAGCAAATTCAGCCAGAACTTCATAAATTTCAACATAATTAGCTGATTTTAACGATTCCCGTGTTATAAAACGGCCTCTAAATAGAGTTATTTTCTAGTGACTATATACCGGTAATTTAGTCATAAATTATTACTTCGTATGTTTGATTTTTACATGTTATTTAAGAGAAGAATTCCTTCAAAAAAAAAGAGAGAAGAATTATTAAAACCGAAAAAGAATGAGTGGGAATGATGAGTAATGATAAGTGGGATCCAAACTGGGTGACTTACTGACTTCATACACTACGTTTATGCGTGGACATGATTAAGTCGAGAGGTCAGCATCCTAGGCTTTATTTACCACGTCGAATGATTAAAGTTAAGAATCCTATATTTCCGGTGCAACGTATGGGAAAAATAACTAGTCCAATTAACATACTCCTTATTGAATACGGAGTATATACTCCCTCCGTCCGAGAATTAACTTCGGTTTTGACTGGGCACGGAGATTAAGAAAGTGAGAAATGTGTGATGGAGAGTTGTGCAGAGGAGAGAGAAATGTGTAAGAATGGTTGTGAACCACAAATCCTTTGCTAAAAAAGGAAAGAGGAGATAAATTTGGGACGGACCAAAAAGGAAAGAATGAAAATAATTATGGGACGGAGGGAGTATTTGATATGGTTCGGTGTGATTCACTACATTTTCAATTTTCATTTTGTTAGATTATATGGTACCCATAAAGTACCATACATTTGTCCACATGGACCAATCAGAATGTTGCAGTTGAATTACTTAAGTCTAAATTAAAAATGATTTACTTATTTGGACCAATCAAGTGAAGGATAAGTACGGTACCTCATTTTTTAAATGATTACTGGAGTTCTCACCTTTCATTTTATATGTGTATTTCAATCTTTAAAAAAACATTAATCTTACTATGATTTCACCTGTTTAATAAATACCATCTTCAATTTACTTCCCATGTTTTAAGATACGAATATTTGCATATATAGTGTCGTAATCAGGGGTATAAAACTATACTCCGTAAATTAGATTAGATTAATTGGTAAAAAAGACGTTCAAATAATTTTTTACATAACATTTTATTGAAACACTTTGCATATTCCATATTTTTTAAAATTTGACGTGGGCCATATTCCTAATTATAGTATGTTCGGAATTAATTTCTTCCACAAAAACATGAAACTCAACGTTTGTACGTCTATTGCAAAATGTAAAGATTATACTCCTAACCAAGCATTCCAACTCAATTGATTGTGAGATTACCGTGCCTAGTGAAATGTCTCGACTTCGGAATTCATTTTGTTTTATGAATATGAATTTTATGAATATGAATGTAGTTCCGGTTTTGCGGGGCTAATACATGATGCATGCCACACAAAATTAAGCGCTGATTAAACGAAAATACTAACAATTCTGCTTTATCGAAAGTACTAAATTGACCCCCCCTTTTGGAAAAAAACAATGCTTTCTCAAAAATATAAAATTCCCTTTTGCATGTAGATTAATAACAATATATCATAACTTGACGAGGCTATCAATCATCAAAATCTTTCTAGCCCACATCCAATCCATGCAACTTTAATGACCATCCCGATCCAGAACTTATGGGAACAGTTCATTCTTGATGATATCCGATCCTTTGCATGCTTTTATCATTTTTAATCTTAATATACTTAACATAATGAAATGCGCAAACTTGCTTTAATTATTAACAAATCAGTATTACTACAAACTTAAGTACGGTACAATGTCGTTGGTCAAAACTTTCAGGCTTGAGGGGCCACCGTGTTTTGTTTCGTATAACACTATAACATACGTACTTCGTATGATATGATTCATATTCGTACTTACCCGGCCACGTACTATATTGATCGTTGTAATATGCTCCGTATTATAAATTAAATAAAGTTAGAGAAATGAGTAAGGATGTTTTGTTTTGGACTGAAATTTGCTGGTCTGGTTTGGTCTGGTCTGGTCTGGTAAACGTCTGGTCTTTGTGTATTTTATAACTATGAAAGTCAAGTCTGGTCTGGTCTGATCTGGTCTGGTCTGATTTGATCTGGTCTGGTTTGGGACTGAAAACAGCCGAAAAGAAAACATCATGTGAATTAAATATTCTTCGTATAAGTGAGATGAGATGAGCTGACCTGATAATTGACTGAATTCGACTTCTTTTACTCGAACGGGAAGATATTTTACTTTAATGAATAAATAAATAATTAATTAAGAATCTTAGAAGAGTACAAGTTAATCATTATCATGTGCATGAGAGGCGACCACTAAAATTGTCATCTAAGGATTCTCCAAATCTCTAACTTGGAGGGACATGTTTCATCTTCTCGCACTCCCAAGTTTCACCAAGAACAACATTCTATAGAATATGTTTCAATTCATTAACCTTACAACCTCAAAGGTTATACACTTATACGTAGTATGTAACAAGTAGTGATATGACTAGCTCATTACACTTAACACGGAAACGTTGAAGAATATAATCCTCTCCAAAACCCTGTTAATTCAGTTACTTTTCTGTAGTCATAGTACTATGGATAATAATACAATATGGAGTGTATTGAAAAAAAATGTAATCAGGCAAGGTTAAATATATAGTTTGACTAGTTCTATGCGACAATTTGTTCAAATACACTACTTGATCATATTCGATATTTAGTTAGTCAAATACTATCCATTTGTTCAAATTCTATATTTGATCTTCAAGACATTTTACCATGTTTATAAACATTATTCTTTTGGTAGAGTCTTTCTTATTTTGATATAAAATGTATTTTGAAACATTCTTCGGCATCTTTAATTAATAGGATTTTCAAACCTGTATAAACTCTCTGATTCATTTTCCGGTACACCTCAATACAACTCAATTGTCTCAACTCATCACTCTACTCTTGCATTCTTTTCTAGTGGTATTGAGCACAAATTCTTTAATTTAATTTATTAAACAGAAATTTTCCTTGATTTTTAAATTATATCTAACTTCAATACAACTCAACTGTCTCATTACCTTAATTAATCCCCTATTGTAAAGTAAACAATCCACCCACCCACCTATTAACCGCCACCGGTAATAGTGATCACCGTGCTGCCAAAGCCCCGTTAGTGGTTGTGCACCAACTTTAGTGAACCATGTAGATAGTTAGGATGTTTTTAATAGGAGTGAAATTTTACATCTAGTCTGGTCTGTTTAAGCCTGATTTGGTTTGATAGATGTCTAGTCTTTGTGTAATCTACAAATGTCGATGTATGCTATGCATGGTATGGTCTGAGACTGAAACCAATCCAAATAAAAACATCATTATTATCAATTCCTGCTAGTTACTTTACCCCAACATTAACAAATTAGCTCGTTAGTGAAAAATGCTTTAACCCTAGTTGTAGTCACATAAGTCCTAGTGCCCACCACAACACTCGAACTCTAGCTTCCATCACTTGAACCCTAGCTGCGACACTCGAATCCTAGTGCACGGCCTTTTTATGACAGAGTTTTGGGGAGAAAGTTAAACATGTGACAAGACTTCCATCCATCATAGGCGTACCTTCAGCTGTTGTTACAGGTGATAAGGACAAGTACATAGAGGTGATAAAGGTAATGTCCTGAAAAATGTAAAAACATTTAGCAATGTGGAGACAAAACCTAACGTGCATAAGTCCAGGGTGTGGGGTTGGTCACTGCTTGTAATGGGTTCCCCGTGTGATGATGAAACAACTATCTGCTAAGAGATAGTTGAGTGGTCAAGGTTGGGCTGAATTTTCGCTATTCAACTAGATGTGGCGACTTCGACTCACGAACTGACAACGTCAGAACCTATACTTATGGGCTGAGTTCTTGTATTTATAGTGGCTGAGGGTGGCATAATGTTAGAGGAGGAGACATCAGCTCGTTTGGACTACGTCTCACCTACCCCCATCTTCTTCTTAGAAGCACTCGAACCCTTACCGTACTCATTTATGTTGAGTAGACACAATGGGGATTGACTGGGTCATAGGAACAAAAGAAATATCACTACAACAAAATAGACTTTTCGTAACGGTTTCTTTGTAACATTTTTTTATTTGTTGCATATAACATTTAGAGTTTGAATTATGCAACACTTATGAATAAGTATTGCATAAACCCTTAAAGTATGAGATTATGCAACATTAAATAAAAGGTGTTGCATATGAGTAAGGGTTAGGTAACATTTATATTTAAAATGTTACATAAAAACAAGTATTATACCGAGAAATGAATTTGGGCCGCACTTAATCTGAACCGTCATTCCACACAAATTTTACTCCTATCATTTTTATTAGGTCTGTTTCGAAACTTTTCCTACCATCTCCAGTTCGCCACCCTATCTTTTCCTTGTCTCAAGAGTCCCCTGGGAATATGGTATCTTTTCTGTTCTTCCTTTTCTTTTCTGCAAATAAATTGAACAGGGCGACGAGAATGGGAGGAAGAAAGGAAAGGTAAATTAACCGCCGCTGCTAGGAGTGCTGAAGCGCCAACTAAGCCGCCGCTGCCGCAGCTAACTAGCGCCGAGAAACTACTACTGCCGCTAATGAACACTTACAAAGCTACCAGCGTCGCTAGTGAGAGCTATCGAAGCCACCACCACCCTTTGCTACCTCTTTCGTTTAGCCACCAGTCCCACGTACCACCCAAGGTAATAACCCTTCCATTTTGTTAATTTTTTAGGTTGTTGCAGTTTCTTATCCTGGTCTTACGTTTAAACTATGTTAGTTATGTTATTTAGTGAAATGTTTCATTATTATGTATATATATTTATATGTCGTTCATGATTGAAATATTGCTCCAAGTGTTATGTTTCATTGTTTCATTCTCAATATGCTACAGTGAAATATCTATTCGATATTCAAAAATTTGATCTAACTAGTTACGTGACCATGGGTTAATTAACAACCTGTTTCACTCTGTTTTGTTTGATATTTAACTGAATGATTTATATTTGTGTTAAACTTATCATCTATCATTGGTATGCTTATCTATCAAATACATAGATGATAGATCTCCATTTAAATGTCAATTTTGTTGAAGAGGCTATCTGGAAGTGGAGTTTCTAAAGAGTGGACCTTAAGATGGAGTAATATGTGTAGAATAGGTGTACTCGCAAAAGGCCCGATGTTATACCGATTAGCCGTGTATCCAAGTATCCAACTGTAATTATAACAAGTACAAATGGACACAAAATGGTACCTGAAAAAACAATGGAGAAGCTAACTTTCCCCACCTTCATAAAAATGATTCGAAATTATGGTATTATTATTATACTATCAGAAAGAAGTGTATTAAATTTGCCCATGGTAGGAATGGTCCTGAACTCCTAACATTGTTTGAAATATGATTATAGTTTATAGCTTTGAAGTATTAACCGGCCATGCTGACCATCTATGCTATACATACCAGAAGCATAGGAAGGCTGACAATTTATATGCTTTTCTAGACTGCACCATTAACAAGTAAAATTAAACAAAATGATAGCAACATGCCTTTTTGAAGGTTCATGCCTTAGTTTCTTAAGTTTGGTTTTAAAATGTCCTTTATTTATTTTAGTTCCAGTTTAAAGTTTTTGGATTTCTTCATTATTTTAAGTTGAGTAGATATGTAGGCATATTTTTAGTTCTAGTATATGCTTTCCTTGAATTTGAGTTGCTTTAAAAGCAGATTTAACAGCTGTTAGTATAATGAGATCTAAAAAATGTCATGTATTTATTTTAGTTCCAGTTTGAAGTTTTTGGATTTCTTCATTTTTTTTTAATTTGAGTAGCTTTGAAGGCATGTTTTCATATTTTAACTTTTAGCATATTCTTGGCCTTCTTGTAGGAGTTGAGGTATGAAGTTTGTATTTTCATTGTTTCTTTTGGCTTATTGATTTGTTTTTAATTTGCTCCTTTTAATTCTGTTGAACGTTAACTAATGCTAAAACAGAAAAAAGAGAATATCTAAACAGACTGAAGAAACATTATAGTGGATGCTGGAATTTGTTTCTCTTGGCTAATTGATTTGATTTAAGGAATATTACACTTCAAGTCAAACTCCTGCTTTGAAATAGGCTAAATTAATTTTACATACTCTATTACTCTTCAGACTATTAGTGTCGAATTAACATTCTGTGTCTAGAAACTAATTAATTTTTATCGTCAAATAAGTTCAATAACAAGCTACTTGAGTTGGGCTTATTTTTTAAGTAAAATGACCAAGTCTTAAAAAAAGTAAGCAAGGGTGGAAAAGGATACTTAATATTGTGGGATTCCAATTTGTTATGGTGAGGGCAGTTGGCGCTACATATATTGAATCTAATGACTATTTTAGGCTACCTTTGGGAAAACAACTTCTGTCAGCTAGTTGATAGTCGATAACCAAGCTGAGATGACAGTTTATAGCTGGAAAGCTAAAAACTAACTTCCTGCACTTGGTTGAACTTGACACCAATTTTAAATTCTCGATAGAAGTTTGACAATATAGTTTTGTTAGAACAACTAAACTGAGACATAAGTCACTGCTCAAATGACTAACTAACTTATGAAATTTAAGATGGAGATAAAGATAGCAAAGAGGAAGACGATGCCATCACTTATAAACATGTTGAAGACGGAGAGAATGGTGATGATCTAAATGAACGGGTTGAACTCGAAAATGATTTAACTATAGATGACGGGCAACAAGGATCAAGTAAGTATTTTGAACTTCATTTATAAAGAAACAACACTTTCAATTATTTTCATTTGCATCATCTATGAGTGACATATTTTATCTAAAAGAGAATGACCACTATATTTTTATATGTACTTTGCAGATTCTATAAAAAAAGAAAAAAACAAGAGGTCCTACGGAATTGGAGTTAGTCCCATCATTATAAGTTTTTTGTGTTAGTTCATACATGTATTGCTTAAATAAAAATATTGAAATCTGGGGGCCTGTACAAAATGTTTCTCTCCAAATCAATGGGCTTGATGGGGATCATAACCGCTTCAAAGTTGAGTTTCTAAGCACTGATGTTATGGTTATTTAGTGTGGGAGAAAGTTAAATTGTATTCCTATGATTTCAAGTCCAAAGAAACTAAAGCTCTAAACCAACCTGGTGCATGCAGAAACATATGATGCTACTGTATGTGTGTTATACGTGAATAGCCTTGTGTCACTTTGATCCTTCTTGAAAGTAATACAAGTGTAGTTTCATTTGACTGAAGGTGCTGGTTTTAATATAACATTCATAAGTAATAAAAAAAAAGTGTAGGAGTAAATCGGGTGTTCGCATAAAGGTCTAGGACTTAAATTTGGCTTTTTCTCTACTATAACCTTTATTAATAGAATTGTTTCAATTGAATTCGTCTTCTTAATATAAGCATATATAATTATAGTATACTAAAAACTGCAGACTTAAAATGCAGCACTTGTATATATATCTACCTTAAAACTTTTATTCCTTTATGATCTCTATATGGTGTATTTATTATATGGTGTATTATTTTATATTGTAGGTTGATGGAAATTCCTTTGTTATGTCGCTAGAAAGATCGACATGGTAGTTCAATAATGTGTGGAAGAGCTGTTACCAATAAAGACATTGCTAAGGCAAAAGAGACTGATCAGTCTTATTCAATGACTAATCATATGGATGCAATTATGAACACTTTGAAGGAGTTTGAAGAGGAAAACAAGAAAAAGAATCTTGAAATAGAACAAATGCGCAAGGAACGCGAGATTGAGAAACGGTAAATGAACTGGTTCTATCAAAGCTTGATGCAATGATTCCAGATCATGATGCAACTTCACTTGAATTATACACTTGAAGAAATCAAGTTACATGTGTTCCGTCTATTTGGTTTTCTGTCAATTTAGAATATTATATTTAGTTACTATTAGAAGTATTCATTGATATTCTAGTTTTTTTTACAAATTGGATAATGTTACTTTTTCAGTTTAAGATAAATTATTCGAGATGTGTTCAGGATGTGTTGGAATGTGTATAACAGATTTACATGCATGTTGTTTTATATCTAAAGGTGTAATACAAATTATCAAAAATTTGTGTTGCAAAATGGTTAATATAAGTGAAGTGTTGCATATTAGGTGTAAGTGTGTTGCTACCTTTGAAAAAATGTTGCCAAAAATATTCATTAAAGTGTTACGAAATATAATTAGTGTTGCATAATAATATAGCAAATATGTTACATAAATATAAAAAAGTGTTGCTTAAAGTCATATTTTAAGTGTTGCATTTTATCTCAAAAAGTGTTGCGTTAGATGTTTGTTAAAGTGTTACAAAAAAAGTGTTGCATTTGGGACATTCTTGCAACATTTTTAAAAAACGTTGCAAAAAATGATAAAAGTGTTGCATATAACTTTATGCAACGAGACCTGAAGTAACACCCATAAAAGTGTTACATAAGCCTTTTGTAACACTATAATGATCTAATGTAACACTTTGTAAGCGTTGCCAAAGACTTGTTTTGTTGTAGTGTATGCACCTTATATTGTATGACAACTTTATTTGTAGGATCCGCCAAGTTGAGAAGATAATCCAGTATTGGCATTGGCTTCACGTACGAAGGAATCATTTTCAAACTTCTTCAGATTCAACAACTTGGGGATCTTATAGTACTCTGAAGGTGGTCTGGCAGGTATTTCAGAGACTTCATTCAATTAATGTCCGATCAGCATGGAGAACCAGCGTGCATATGGGAGGTGTCTGAACTTCTTTGGAGAATCCCTAACAACATTTTGTTCAATGATCTCAAACCAGATGAGTTAAGCCCAGTTATAATTCTTCCCAAAGGTCACTTTGTGGATCAAATGGAGCATGTGAACATTGCAATGATCATGACCAGAATGTTTGGGAGATGCGCATTTGTTCATAACAAAAAAAAAGTTCTCAATGGTAGAGGGATTTTGCTCTATAAGTGGGTAAGCTGGGTGAGGGGTGAAAGATGGCCCATGCAGAGCATGTCCTAGAGCAAGTCTTTTTCTATGGGGAAAGGGTTGGATGGTACGTTTGGTTATATGGATAGGAATAATGGCTTATTTGGATTATAGTGTTGGTTTGGCTGCATCAGCTACATAATTAGTCGTACCCCATAATTGGCATAGATAAATATTGGGAACTTGAGCTGAATTATTCAAAGCTGGCCAAAGTGAATGTCCTTTCAATATTGAGATGGTGATGGGATCTTGGCATTTGAAAGCTTCGGGGTCCAATAGATAATTATTTTCTTTCAGACCTGCCTTTGGATGGACCGCCTCTTCAGATAATAGTGCCATTGTAATCTGAGCTGCAATTTTCAAAAGTAATACTACCTCCGTAACGTAAATATCTTCCCACTTTCCTTTTTTGGACGTAACATTAATATCTTCCCATTTCTAAATCTTCCCATCATACCCTCAATAATTTTAAAAATAATACACTATTACACCTACTTTTTTTGGATTTATCCTTCATTCCATCACATTATTTCACTATCTTCCCATCATACCCCTAATAATACATATCTCCTTTCACTATTCTTAATCTACCTACTTTTCAAATAGGAACATTCCAATGTTACGGAGGTAGTAGTTAATAAGAGCACAGACTCGGTCAGGAATATGGGTTGGTTTGGGTCAGAGTTTAAATTGGGTTCGGGTGTTGCCGTGTTGGGCTAAAGGCTTAAAAGGTTAAATGGGCTTTTCGGCTTATTGGGTTTTGGGTTATACTAAATCAAGGGTAAGGTTGGTGTGTGGTGGATAACATGTTATAGGATAGCGAGACTTAGATGGAATAAGAGGATGGAGGGGCATAGGATAACGTGTGAGGATGGTGAGGCTTAGGATGATGAAACTTAGGATGGCGAGTGAGGTTCGCGAGGCTTAGGATGGGGAGGGTGGTTCGCGGACCTGGATTGTGTGGGTGAATCGTGAGTCTTAGGATGTTTTTTTTGGACTGTTTTTAGTCCCAGACCAGACCAGACCAGATCAGACTTCCATAGTTATAAAATACACAGAGATCAGACATTTACCAGACCACAGTTCAGACTAGACCAAACCAGACCAGACCGGCAAATTTCAGTTCAAAAGAAAACATCCTTAGCCCGCAGGGCTAGATATTGTAAGGATCACATGGGTTGAAGTTCATTCAATTGCATTACATCATACCAAACATAGCCTAAGTTCCATCATGTGCATTAGCGGCAATTAAATCTCTTCTTAAACAAAGCTAGAGATGATCATCTCAATAATTCACAACTAAGAAAATTTCCCACGTTAAAAAGAAAAAGGAATGTCCTGGCACCCGTCGTGGCTGTCGACGACTGTGTCCTTGAACATTTTTTTCTTTTTTCACATAAAGCCACGAACGGTTTTGGTCGGCCGTCGTGATTCTTTTACCTCCCCACTCACTAATTGGAACATGGGAGGGGGGGGGGGGGACTAGATTGCAACGAAAAATACATGTAGTTTGAATTAGAGTAAAATGATCAAATTATATGGATCTGATTTGGCAATTTCCTGTATTGTGATTGGTTTAAAAACATGGGTACCAAAACACTTGTAATTTATGTTGGTACCGTAGAAAGACCCTATTAAAAAAACAATCACATCTTATCATATTTTAGGAATCACCATCAATTTTAATCTTATATAGATACCTACTTCAATTCCGTGGTGATTGGTGATGAAAAGCATGCCCATCACCATAAATCCTAGTCCTAGTCCTAGTATCCCTAACGGGAGAATCCTCTCCCAAAACTATTTCCCGCTTCTCTCTCGTTTTAATTGCCTTTCTCCCCATTTACTACGTTTGCAGTTACCTCTGCAATTACGATTGATTATTATCACTCCTTAATTACATACGTTTCAATTCTTCTTAATTACTAGAAAATTCGTTTACTACCCATCTTTTACATCTTCAGCCGAACCTCACCGCATCGCCGCACTTGGCCATCGCCTCTCCTTAGCTACTGCAATTTTTCTTCCGCTCACCTCATCATTCATCTCCCCCAATCTATCGATGGTAACTCGAGAAAGGCTTCCTCACGTCTACAATTTCATCAAATCAGGTGATTATTTTCTAATCTTCAAAATTAACTTCGACCAGTTTATTCAGTTTCCGTATATATGAATGTCTAAGTTAGGTTTTTCATCATCTATTGCGGTCCTGCTTAGAAGAGACTGAATTTTTAGATTAAAGTATTTCATTTGAGAAAGGCTTCCTCACATCGACAAGTTCATCAAATCACGTGATTATTTTCTAATCTAATAAGGCATTTGTAACTATTTCAATTTTCGATTGACTTTTGCAGAAGACAAGCCGCAGCTCTTATTCTATGTTTTCTAATTGTTTTCCAGGAAACTAGGAGAAGAAGATGCACACTTATTTAATGATTGAATTGCCATAGTTTAACCTAAACTCCATGTATGTTTTATCCTCTTTTACCATAATTAAAAAGAATAATGTGATAAACTTAAAGTTCAAGTCAAGCTGAAATCATTCTCTTTTTTCTTTTTTAATAAATTAATGAGTAATATTTTGCAAAATATTTAATCTTTTAACATCGATCAAATTGATTGTTTGATTTTTGAGATATAAACTTGATATGTCTTTCACTCAAATGTAAACAGTTTCAATCAAACCTAAATGCTAAACGATCAGGTACTCACCACGTCACCCTGCATAAATTTGAATGTGAAAATGAATAATTAACTTTGATTACTTGCCACATTTCATTACTCACCAGTGTCATTTGACTGTCATAATAAACTTTTTACCTCTTTTATTCACCACTAGGCATAAAAGGATTAGCTACGGATTTCCAAATAAAGATGGAGTTTCATGTTGGGGGCTATTGCTGCTTGGTTTATATATGGGTGATACTTTTTCACTTTATTCTTAAGATTAACTTAACTGTTTACTCTTTTGAATTCTTTTGATTTTTAGATGATATGGAGCATCACAATGACGACTATTTATATCCCTATATTTATATCGTGCCACAGAAATAAAAACAAGAACTCAAGTATACCTGCCTTACTTGGGTGTGACTTCTGACTTCCATCAAAGTTCTTTGATTGTGTACGTCTTGAATGATTATTGGTTTCAGTTAGTTCATGGGTGAACAGGAAACAGTCCAAACACTTTGTATAAGGCTTGGCCCCCGAGCCTTGCTATTAGTGAACATACATAAAAATTGTGAGTTATGATTCATTTTTTGGCAAGTGAATTATGATTCATTGATAAGTTATTAATTAATAATATGAGTTTGGCATATTATTATTTAAAACTACCATTTAAAGTATTCAGTTTTTAATATAATTTCTTTGTGCAAATAAGAAAATTTTAAAATTTAAAACTACACACTGTACACAGTAACATTATTCACGTTTTTTATCATTATATGATATCATCACAGTTACCATGTGTGAATCCTATTATCAATTTATTATTATAGGGTTCTAAAGAAAACCATATTTACGAAATTCATCCGTGTGATTAATGTGCAAAGGAAAAATACTCATGTGTGATTCTTTACATTATCCAATTACACTCTAGATGTCACCTTTTGTTTTCATGTTTATTTGAAAGATCAGAGAAAATTACTTCTTGCAAATCAATATTAGCCTTATTGTTTTTATGTGAAATATTTTAGACAATGATCAAGAATCAAAGGCAATCATGAGTGGTTATTCTTGCTATATCATGATAAGGGAATAATTCTATGTTGTAATTTCAAAGTTAACAAGTCCACTTGTGGCATGATTTCATCATATGCAGTGAGGAAGGGTATCTGAAAAACTACAAAATGTGTCTACGTTTTTTATCCCAATGGATTGGGGGTGGGGGGTGGGGGGTGAAGGAGCATGGGGTAAATAGGGTTGAAATTGCTTCAATGAGGTTTCGAACCCGGGAGCTTCCATGTGAGAGAATGAATCAACAATAGATGAGCTGGACCACTTGCTCAATAAGTTGTAATTTTTTTGCTTATTAAGATTCTAATTCTTTTTATTTATTTACGATTCTGTTATTCTTCATGATAAAATAGTATGATTAAAATTGAGTCTGTGTGTGTCTGTGTGTGTGTGTATATATATATATCAACATTTATAATAACATTTTATTACACAGAAGACATTTATAATAACATTTTTTGCCACTAACCACCGGATATGTTGTTCACCACCACGGCAAATTTCTTCCGTTCTACAGTGGTATATAGACCGTTACTCTGTTAATTAGCACCCATTAGTTCTCACATGAACAAAATAATGATCATACTAATCTCAATCTAAAAGGTGGAATCATCCACTCCAGGCGTCCTCACATCCTGACTCAACAGAATGGTGGAGGAGCAAGCCACGGTATGATATGAAGCTCTCACACTGCCACTGTCGAGAATTGAACCTGAGATCTCAATCCAACAACCCCACTCATCAACCGTTGAGCTACGTACCCGTACGAATATGGCCATACTAATCTGTGATGTTTGCTTGTACCTTCATCGTCAACGGAGGACTCTTCATAATCTAATGTCCTAAACAGTCACATGTTTGTGTGTGTTTGTAAGTAATTCAGTTTAGACATTATAGAGAAAATGGTTCATTTTAAAAATAGAAAGTACTTCAAAATGTAAGTGATTTTCAAAACGGTCTTTTGGTGCACTATATTGTGGAGTCTTATTGACAATGTGCACGTAAAAATTAGTTATAAATCTTGATATTCATGAAGTATATATATGGATTAGTCGGTATTAAACCGATTAATGAAACAACGTACCTTTGGATGATTGCTAGAAGCCTAGAAGACTTTAATAGATTCCCGCACGATTGCACGAGTAACTCAGGTGGCCGGTTAAGTGGTGATAAAGTTGGAACATTGATAAATGATCGAAATTTGGACTGACCATGTGAAAGTTAGTTACAACCCCAGTGAATTGGACTAGTGGTGGACCGGGCCCGGTCCGGTTCCGGTTCGGGCCTAGGCCTGGCCGAGCCTGGAACATTTTGGGTAAGTCCCGAAATCGGCCCGGGAGTCTACCGGTTCCGGGCCGGCCCCGGTTACCCCTTCGGATTGGGCCTAGACCCCCCGGATTCGGAACCGCTTTCCCGGGCCGGTCCTGTACAGTAGCGGGCCGGGCCGGTCGGACCGGACCGGCTCCACCACTAAATTGGTCTGGATCTTTGGTGCGCATGTGTGAACATTTTATCACTTTCGGACTGATTAAGTCACTATGACTTATAACCTCTCAAATGCTTTATCGAGTGGACGCTTGTAGAGTTGTAGGGGTTTCGATCTTTTGAAACA